AGTCTGGAAGCCAATCTATCACTTTGTAAACCACCGCACAGAGGCTAATAGGCCTATACTTGTTCAGACACACAGGGTTTTCACATTTAGGGATCAGACACACCAAAGTGTGGTTCCAGTATTTTAAAAATCTATCAGACAGAAAAAAACTTTTCACAGCTTCACATAAGTCCTTTTTTATAACTGGCCAAAAATGCTGATAAAAGAGCGCCGTCATCCCTTCTTCCCTAGGTGCCTTCAGTGGGTTCATTGCGAACAATGTATTTTTAATCTCCTCTTCTTCCACCTCTGCTGTTAGATCATCATTCATCTTCTGAGTAATAGAGTACGGGATAAGGGGAAGAATTATATCATCATCTTGGGACCCTTCTGATGCAAACAATTGTTGATAGAACTGGGAGATGTGGTTAGTGAGTTCCTCCTTGGTCTCAAAAATGCTGGTCCCTTCACCTTTGAGTCGTGTGATTGCATTTCTTTTTCTTCGTTGCACTGTCACTGCATGAAAAAAGCGGGAATTCTGATCTCCTGCCTTCAACCAGAGGTTTCTTGATTTTTGCTGCCAAAATATTTCTTCAGAGCAGTGTGCCTCATCAAGTTCTGTTTTAATACCTCTTCTGGTAGTAATTACAGACTTTCATCTTTCTCTTTTGAGGGGATGTGAGTAGATAGAATTATATTAGGCTTGCTAGATATGCTGTAAAAGCTTGGCTTTCAGATATTAATAATACCATTTTGATCTGGCAATTGCGTTTTAGTTAAAGTACATATGCTTGCAGTTTATTTATTTATACAATCATACTCCTTGTCTTACATTGAGATAGTGTGGTTCGTGGTGTCTCGAACAGTAAGGTCACCTATCGGTTCCTTGTAATACTAAATCATTTGTTCATAGTCTAGACTGGCAGTGAGGCCCCACTTGGAAAAAGACTGTAGTGTATTCTTGATTCAGTTGACCTTTAATTGGAGAATTACACTAGTACTTATGTTAAGTATTGAACAAGACCGCCGGAAGGATAAGATTATGAGACTCACTGATCGTTGTTGTAATCTATACCTTCAGTAATTGATGTGTTCTCTTAAGCTATAAGATAATATAAAATAGTCGTGTATATTCATTATTTATTTATTTGATTTACCAAGGGTGATTCCTATTATGTTAGGATGACATACTCGGTACTTTGGTAAATAAAAATGTTTATATGGCGAGCTATTATAAATTATTTATAGTAACCGTGTTCCAGTGCGCTGGATTGATGACGTCCCCGAAATGAGCTCAAGAAAGAATATTGTGTTAAAACCCTGCAGGTGGATGATTATCCGACACAATGATTAAGGTTCTGAGTAGTACTAATTTCAGAAATAAATAAGAAGTCGATTAATTATGTTGTCAGTAATTTAATTAATCCACAGACGTTATATCTTAAACACGAGGAGATAAATCGGTCAATTAGATTAATATTAATTAATCAAGTAGAGGTTTAATTTAATTGATTAAATTGGAGCCAAATGAGGAGAGCAATAATAATATTCTAGTGGGATATATTATTATTTAATTTTATTAGGAGTTTATGAATTAATTTATTCCATAATTATTATTCCAAGACTTAGGGAATATTCCTTATAGAATATTACCTAGGGTTAGGAGACTAGAGAGTCTTCTAGAAGGTGATGTTAGGAGAAGGAGTCATGACCTAATATGGATTAGCTTGTGGAGTAGAATTATGATTCCTTGGCCTAATGGGATAAGTCCATATTTGGCACCTCCTTAAGGTCCATAATGGAGTCTATAAATACACCATATCCCAACCTTTTGAGACACACATGTGAGACTCGTTTTTTCCATCTTTCAAAGAGAGAAAAATTGTCTTGTTCGAGAGTGAGGGAGATTCAATTAATCGCACCACCAAGATTAATTGAAGTAGGTGTTTAGGTAATCCATTAGAAGGCTTTAAGGTGAGATTATATTAAACCTCAAACCTTCATATTTTCCGGTCACCTTCCTCACCCGACTGCCGCCATCCGCGGCCGTCGTCCACCGCCGGAAAACCACTCATCGGTCAACCAGGACTCCTCGCTCAACCAGGACTCCTCGCTCAACTAGGACTCCTCGCTCAACCATTCTATTTATTTTGGCTCAGAGGATGAGTTTGGATCAAGTTGTCTGTTAGCCGATGGATTGCTCGTGTTACATGGGGGCGGAGATTCTGATATAATAACTCCTTCCATCACTTTGAGCCACTCCCCGTACTGTCCTTCTTTGAGCTCTTTCTTCGCAATCGCCTCCTTCCTGTTTGAGCAGTTTTTATCAATATGTCCCAGGATCCCGCAATAATAGCAAAGGCTAACAAGCTTCTCGTATTTGAATTGCACTGTAACAATTTGTTCCCCCAGTCTTATTGATGTCCAATGGGGTATCGTCTTTCTGACATCAAGCAAGACCTGTAATCTGAGAGTTCTGCTTCCTTTATAACCAGCTTTTGCTAACATCACATTCTTGATATCAATGAAAGCACTTCCTCTCTTCAACCCAACCTTTGTGCTCATCCAGTTTACGGGTACCCCATGCGCTTGTACCCATATTGTTAATTCATTGAAGCTTGGGTGTGTTTCAAATAGACCTTCCTTCCAAGGCTGCAAAATGAGGTATTGATTCTCGAATATCCAACTTCTTCCCTGATCCAACTTCTGTAATGCTTCATTATTTGGAAATATAAATTGGAAATACTTTCTGCTCAGCTCACGAACTTCCAGTGTATTCCCGATACGCCATAGTAATCCCATTGTCCGTTTGATTCCTAGCCAGTTGGCTTTCTTCTCGCCTATCACTTTCCCAAATAGGCTGCGTTTCCATTCTTCCGCACTTAATCGCAATTATGTTTCCTCAATGCCGATGATTAATTTCTCGGCATCTGCAATTGAGATTTGTCCTAATCTGAGCCCTAGCTCTTCATTCATGTTTCAAAGCACAAATAGAGACTAAAAGGTAATGGTAACTCTCCACTCTTTTTAAAGAAAACAGCACCTTCGAGATCGAAGAGGATCCTCCTACAGGAGATCAAACTCTCACCACGAGAGTAGGAAAACTCTCACCACGAGAGAACATGTCATTTACAAGTTTGACTCGTAAACCTTGCTTGTAAAATTTGCTTACAAGCTTCTCGGTGGAACACATATTTTATTAGTTTTTATTAGCTCAAAGCGCTTTACGAAAAATAATTCAATAATTCAATAAAACAATGTCTTGAATAGAGAATAGTCATAAATAACACGACAAAATGATGTCTCCAAAATAATTCTATACAAACAATTATTTAATATTTACCAAACACTACTATAACAACTAATACAAGTCACTAAATAAAATCAATTGTTTGCTATCAACTAATAACCAAATAAGCCATAAATATTTGAATATATTTTCGAGACAGACATGCATAACTTTGTAATATTTATATAATCATACTTCATACAAAAATTATGTAAATAAATATGACACGATTTATGTTTCGTGAAATTTATAATGCAAATATATATATGCGTGATCCAATAGTGTTTGGACTATGGTGCAGTTAATAATTAATTTCTTTTAATGTTTTTCACTTCAATAATTTTTTGGAAGCAGGCTAAATGTGAAACTTTAATACAAAAATAACACAGGCAACGAGTGAAAGAGCCAAATACGTTGTGGGGTATAAATGAATGAGATCACAAGCTATCATGTGACAACACCTAGTCAGAAAATCATGGATCTATACTATAGTGTCGTTTTCCAATTCAAAAATATTCAAAATTGCAAAACAATATTATTTTGAGAAATATTGTGTATTTGTGTAGTTCATTGAAGAATTGATGTGAAACTGATCAAATTAGTTGTCTATATTACATTATCTGCATATTACATTATGAGTGAAATGTAAACGAGTCGTCGAGACGAATCCAACATTGATTTTATTGAGTTAAGAGTGACTTTTAAATAATGTATGAGTCGGTCAAACCATTAGACGAGTCGACCTATATGTGAAATTGCATATTTTAGTTTATGTTGTTTTTTTAAAAAATGATATTTCAATTTAAAAGTGACTGTTTAAACTTTAACTATCTTGTCTAACAATAGTCTTACTATATTTTTATATTTAGGGTTACGTGAATCAATTCAGATGCAATTGAACAACTCATCAAGCTCAGGAGTATACTTGCTAAAAGGGTGATTAGATATAAAATATTTTTGTTTCGATTGGATTTATTGGTAAAGTTAGTTAATTTTGAAAAAAAAGTTTATTGAGCGGAGATTTAAGTGGATTTCGAAATTGTATTTTAAAAATATTTAAAATATTATATAATTATTGAGTTGATGTAGTGTAAAAGTAGAAACTATATTACTGAAATTGATAGATAACTAATATTATATGAGTTGATGAATAGCGAATTAAAATTGATGTGATGTATATGAGAGTTGAGTTTGATTAAATTTGAGTTGGATTTTAAATTAAAAATTTGTAAAAAAAAGTTCAGACAGATAAGGGAATTGCAATAAGGGAAAAAAATATACAAATAAAATAGTTACTTCTATGTGACTTTTAGGTTGCAAGAATTGAAATTAAACATATTCAAATAAAATAGTAACTTCTACTTGACTTTTAGGCTGCAAGAACTGAAATTAAATCTATTCATGACCATTTAAGACTAGAAAATGATGCACTCCTATCATAACTACAGTTTTCTTTCTCATAAAATAAAATTGTTCAAAATTTGAGTTTTGGAGGCCAAAAATTGCATTTAAAGGGGCAGTTACACTTGCCTGCACCTTGATAACAGTTAGAAACTTAGAATACATAAATTTTAAAATAATTGAGTAAAAACATTAATTGGTTGGGGGAAGGTCCCCAAGACTCTGACATATGTAAAAAGAAAAAAAAAAAATTGTTTATTTAAATCTTTTGTTTTTCTCAAACTAAAGTAAAAAAAAAAATCAACTTTTTTTTAGTTCTCCCTATAAATTCCTCAATTTCTTAAATTGTTTAATCATAACCTGAGCTAAACAGAAGCAGACAAGATAAAGGTATTTTATTCAGTCCCATTGGGCTTTTAACTATAACTTCAAAAAAGTTTCCCTCAGAACAAAAGAAGAAAATTAGAAAACTTATCTCATTGCCCTCAAAATAAATGGAAAATTTTCAAGAAGTGAAGATGGGTAGAGAGGACAATGCAGATTCAAAATGGGGGTGAGTTTTTATTTTTATTTTTTGTTTTTAAAAAATTTATCAATGGCATTGTACTAGTTTTTGTGCTATGATTAATGTAATTTTATATCTTTTTCATTACCTTGTTTTTTCCTAAAGTAAGAAAAAAATGGAAGCTGATGAAAGTGTGAGGACTGTAGATTGCTTGAGAGGAAGGCTACTTGCAGAAAGAGTGGCTTCAAGAAATGCAAACATGGAGGCAGAACAATTAGGAGCAAAGGTGTGTGTGTGTGTGTGTTTGTGTTTATTTTTTTTAATTATTTATTTTTTCAATTTTGTGTCTTTAGGTGTAATAAACGAATTAATTAAATGGGGCTTGTAGATTTTTTGCCCCTTCTTTTGTTATGTAATATACATTTGAAATTTGATTCTTCCTCTGATCACCCTTAAAAAATCTGTTATTTTTCAACTGATATTTTTTCCCCATTTTTTTTTTTTTTTTATTTTTAATCTGAAAATGGTCAGTTGATGGAGCTTGAAAATCAGCTCAAGCAAGAGGCAAAATCAAGAAACAGGGCTGAGAAAAAGCTTAGATTTTTAATGAAGAAACTCCAATCCATGAACATTTCACATGCCTCAGATGAATCTGAGTACTCAGGCTTGGGGGGCAAAAGTGGCATTTCATCTCCATCCTCCACAGCCTCTTTATCCACACAAGAATCTAAGCAAAATGGCAAATCTGAAAAGGGGCCACAAAATTTGCATCCAAAAAGTTATGCACACAATATTTTATCAAGTGCTGGTGATGATAATAGTTCAAGTTCAACAACTGAAGGGAGCTCAGGTTGTGTATATGAAGGCATTTTGGCAGAAGTTAAAAAGGGCAAAGAATGTGAAATTGGACATATTGAAAATCCCAGGTTTCAAGGGGCATCTGAGGATTTTGAGAAGAAAAATGTTGCACAAATTGCTGTTGAGAATTTTTTGTTTTCTGAAGGTGATGCAAATTCAGAAAAATCAAGTCATTTGGGCTCGAATCATGATGTTAATGATCCAAAGATGGATGAGCAGAGGTGAGGTTTTCTGGTTGACAAGTTATGCTATCGTTTATTTTTCACTAATTCTTGTGTCAGACAGCCTAACGGTTAGACGGGTCGGCCTGTTATACCTTTCTAACAAACTTTTTTAACAAAAATTATATTTATATTAAAAAATGTCATACTTTTGTTTATATTTTTTACAAATCTGAGGAGGTACTAGTGCATTTTGTGAAAAGTTAATAGGATTTTGCTGTAGTTAAGCCAAATTCCAGGGTAGTTTTTTTGCAATTTTCCCCAATATAACTCTCTCAGAATGTTTTGATTAATTCAAAAAGTTGTGCAGTAATAATGCTGTTCAATTTACAACTTACTATGACTTGGTTTTTTTTCACTTTGTGCTGTTATTTGTTTCCTTACAGTGATATATGCTATGCTAGCTTCCGATTTTCGACTAACGATTGCCTTAAAGAAGAAGATGATCAAGATGAGGTTAATAATACAATGGCTTTAGTAGCCGTTGATCAAATGCCACAGAAAAATCCGGCCATTGATCCTCAAGTTCTCGACTCGACCGTGAAGCAAGTGCTCGATGCATTGAGGCAAGCTCGTGAACAGCTTCAAAGTTCGATCGAGAAAAGGCGCCTAAACATGATTAGAGTTGGTTAGAAGTTTTTAGGAGGTAAATTGTTGTGATTTAATGCATGTTTTGGTTTTTGAGTATAAATCTGTTTGTATATGTTCCAATGGGGAATTTGTGAGTCTTCATTTTCTTTTTCTTTTCTTTTTTCTTTTTATTAATCTTTTTTTTTCCCCCAGTTTTATTGCTTTTATTTATGCAATAGAGGACCCTCTTCCCCAAGAGTTTCAAATTCTTGCTCTCATTGATGAAGATTTACAGTGAGAAATCAATTATCTTTCAAAATTATGTAACTGCACAAGGGCAATATTTGTAATTATGCTAATGTATTTGGCAGACATAACGGTTAGACATCATAGTTTTTCGTAGTTTTTAAAACATGCATTGTTTTGCTAACGTAATATTAACTTCGTATGACATTTGATGACATATAAGTATGTATATCTTTTTTGTTAAAAATGTACGGCAGATCGACCAGCTTGACCAGTTTAACGATTAAACAATTCCACACAACAATTTTATGATTTACAATAAGATAATAATGAAATTTGTAATACGATAAATCAGGAACAAATATTCTCTGGTTTTCTCAAAATGATATTCTTGAANCCCTAAAGCAGTTGAACTATCATCAGTCCCAGTCAGATTTAAGCTCTTGCAGTGTGTAAAGCCGATAAAGGCTCTGGTAAAGTTTGGTGAAACTGAAAACAATGTGGCTCTTGAGTGATTTGTGCGACAAAGGCTGTAAAAAAGGAGTTAAAGTTGGAAAAATGTCTCATGTCATATAACTAAACATATGATTCGGTCTTTTGACAGTTAGACTGAATCCAAACATTCTGTTAGCCCCTTCGTTTAAACTTCTTTCAGCTTAATGTGAACGACATCTCAAACTCAAAGTTAGTCAAGTTAGTTTATATCGACCCATCGTATTTTTTCTTTTAAGTATATTATTTATTTATATTAATTTTTAAAAAGTTTAGTTGTAAATCCAACAATAAAAAAATAACCATAAGTTCAATCAATTACTGTTAATTATAAAATTGAGCAATTAAAAAAAAGGTATATTTTCTATTAGTATGACATACTTTTTTCATAAATATTTATATTTCATTAAAAAAATATGACTCTTTGTGAGATAAAAATTGGATCTAATGCAATAAATGGCCTACAATCTCCCACCCCTCATCACCAATTTGTCCAAAGAAAAAAAAGGTGAAATTCACTGCCATACTGAAAATGATCAAAATCATATGCACTAGCCATGGGGGACCAATGTAATGTTAGTGCCCATATTAAAATTTATGGTTTTTGAAATTTATCAAATTAAAACCCAGTGAATATATATTATTCAAATATATAAAGTATTTCATATTCAATCTCTCCTCGGGAGCCTCGACTACCATATTCAATAATAATTCACACCGATGTGCAAAATAAACAAGCAAATGTGAATAAATTACAAGATAACAAACATAAGAAACAGAACCAAATGAGTTTCATATCACTCTGCCTCTACAAAAGTATAGTGAAGATACATGTTTCCCAAATAAAAAAACATTACATAACCAAAAGGCGAACTTGCAAGCACTTGCAATTGAATAGGTTGAAATTTGATCTGGTTAGACCATAAGTAACAAAACAGCACCTCCTTCATGTTAATCTAGTTTGAAAGACCAACCATATAAAAGACCCTAGAATTCTAATTCTAAAAAATATATCAACAGGAAAGCTTCAAATAAGATGTATAAATGCATATATGAACTCCTTATTCATTCTGCAAGAAGGTCAACACAAAGACCATGTAAGGTCAGAGTGTATACTTTGCACCAAATTCAAGAACTGAAGAACAAAGCACTTTAAACGATTGTACTGCCAAAACAGTAGATCCATCAGATTCTTTAAGGATTTTCATTCTTGCACGAGAATACTTACTCCTTGGCTAACTCAGAAGCAAGTACAAAAGTATTCACAGTATTATGTTGGAATGCACTTTTATTCTTTGCCTGAGAACTTATCCTACACGATGCATGAACACAAATCCGTAACAAGAAGAAGTGCAAAATGACTGAATGATCTTCAAGCCTAATGAGTAATGAGTCGTCAACACTTGGTCAAAATTCATGTATGAAATACAAACTCCAGACAAAGCAACACGTTGAATCACGAACGACTAGATTATCCTGGTAAGTTTATGCACCACGTATGGAAATCAGACCCAAACAAGTTGACACAAAGCACACTTCTGAAAATGATAAGGACTGTACCAAAAATGGAAGCGTGAAACAAATCCATGCATTAAAAAGGGTCTTAGAATAGAAGAAAAAAGAACAAACTAAAAAGGAAAAGGAAAGAAAGAAAAGGAAAATAAAAGAAGTACCATAACCTAAGACGAAATGGATTTGCTGACCATGAATAAGCATGCAGGAAACCTAACTTAGAAATAACCAGACATAAATGATAAACTACAAATAAAAGACAAAAAACAAAAGGATAAAAGAACTCGCATGAGACACTGACAGACTTTGCTTTCAGGCAATAAGTAGGTACTTAGATATGGTTGATAGACTAATTTAAAAGTATTAACACAAAGGAGGTTGCTGTTAATTAACTTGGGCCTAACCATGAAAACCTTAATTAAATAAATTTTAAACTAGAGAAAAACCAGAGACTCTTGTACATCAGCTGAAGGTCATGATAGAGGGCTACGTTAGGATGTGGCGGAGAGGCAAAATGAAAGCAACAGGGTGGAAAGCAAAAGGTTAGCTCGTTCACCTACTACCCTGAAAATAGAACGGCATAATTATATTAGAGATGGGAGGTTTAAAAAACCAATCAGGAATTAATGTGCAATGAAGAGAACACATTGAACAAGATACTTGAAAAAATGAAATCCTGATTGAACTTGAACAGGATGGCTAAAAAACTGTAAAAAGAAACTTACTATCAATCAAAGTAGAAATTTCATTTAGGTTCCAGCACCAGCCTTGCCAGCAGTATCTGTTTTCTGAAATTTGAAACAACAAAAATAACAAAGACAGAAAGGTCAATAAATTAGAACGATAATCAGCCTGGTTCTTGAAAAGCATGTGCAACTTACCACCTCAGTATCCCCTTTTCCATTTGTCTTGGGCTGTGAAAATCTGCAAAACAGTGTTGAACAAACATGTCAAATTATTAGCCACATGGCGCCCTCTATTTGACCAGTGTTTCACGTTCATACGGGTATCTCACATTTCAAACTACATATTAAAACACAACGTTATTACACAAGGTAGAACACGCGAAAATTGATAATAACCTTAGTGCTCTGGCTTTCTTTTTATCTTCCTCCACTGAATCGGTCTTCGGTGTTGAACCGAACCTAGCAAGTCTAGCTTTTTTCTTTGTTTCTTCATCAGTTTGAGCAGACTGCACAATCCCAAACCTACAAAGCAACCAAACAATGGCTCACAAACAAACCCCAGAAATATATGTCGATTGCGAAACACATAGCAACAGACAGACCTCTCTGCTCTAGCTTTCCTCTTCAGGTCCTCCGCTGCCTTAGTATCTGACACCTTCGCAGCAGACCCAGAGCCAAACCTTCAGCAAAAGAAAGATTAAACCCAATAACGCAGTGAAAAATAAGTAGCCCTCACAATAACTATAAATCAATGAGCATCAAATGAGTAAAACAAAAGTCTCAACAAACTTATATCTACTACAAAACTAGCACCAATTAAAAATAGTATGTAATTTAGAACACCACCTCTCTCCTATGCCCCTCACAGTCGTACTACCAACGTGAGCTGGAACAATTAGAAAATAAATTCATATCTCTATCACATCAAAATCNCAAAAAAAAAAAAAAATCAAATATATACCAAACAACCAAACAAGCACCTGAGGAAAAGAGACAAGAGACAGAGAGAGATAGAGGGAGAGGTAGAGAGAAACCCTAATTCGGGTTCACACAGTTGCAAAAGCTAACAAAGAAAAAGATACCTCTCAGATCGGGAACTACGCTTTTCCTCCTCCGTCATCTGCACCGGCATGCCGAACCGCTCCGCGCGCTTCATCTTCTTCTGGATATCAGTAACAGCAGCAGATTCGCCCTTCGATTCGTCGACGCCTCCGCCGAAGGACGCCGGCGTCTGCTTCGATGAGGCGTCTCCGTCGGCCGGAGGCTTCGAAACGACATCTGAGCCGTTGACAGAATTTTCCAATGGAGGTGCTGTCGCCGTCGCCATCTTGAGTGTGTGTGTGTCCGCGAGAATACCTTTTGGGTCGAATTGAAAGACGAAAGTGTGAGAAAGTCGTCGGAAGATATTTTTATCTCGAATGCGAGTTTGAAACCGCGGTGTAAGAAACACGAGTATGGCTCGTTTGCAGGCCCAATTTGCAAATTATACTTCAAGAGACGGCCCAACATCAGCAGTGGACAATGATCTAACAAAAAAATCTCCTACTATGTAGACAAATTTACTCCTTTTAACCATAGTTTTCAGACCCGGACCGGTCATTGACCCGGGCTTCCTTCCGGGTCACCGGGTCACCGGTTTAACCGTCGGGTCACTGGGTCAATTGTTGACCCGGAATATATATATATATATATATATATATATATATATATATATATATAAATGATTCCAACATTTTAATTAGTCCATACATTAAAGATCACAAAAATCATGCTAGATAATAATCCAAACATAAAAATATCCAATATTCTTAACAATATTCATAAAACAAATCAAACTAATAGCCCCAAGCTTCTGGATTGTCCGTTTCTCCCGTAAGGGGAACACCGAAAGTGTCAACAAGCTTCCTATTTTGCTCCATATTAGAAGGTTCCTCGGTTGCATCATCATTATTGGTAACACCACCATGTTCTTCTTCATCGTCGTCATCAATAATGTCATGCAAGTTCAATTCTGTACAAGAAAAGTTATTACAAAAAAGGTTATACAATGTTCTATGTTGAAAATAAAATAATGTAATCATTAATTAAAAATATCAAACCCAAATCACAATCTGCAATAACATCCTTCTCAGTGGTAGCATTAGAGGTAAATTCACGTTCAAGAACTTCTAATTCTTCAACCGTTAAAGACGGCGGTTCGTCTTCTAAAATCCAATCGCCAATCTCTTCAAATGACTCGAAACTTATTGGGTCATAGTTCTTCTTCACCTCTTTCCTATAAATATTACAAAGTCAATGTAAACAAATTTAAGCACTAAGTTGATTTGTAGCAGGACAAAAAAAATAAATAAATAAATAAAAAAAAGGCAAGATACCTCTTCCTTAGCTTCAAGTTGTAGTGAACAAAAACAAGATCATTTAATCTTTGATGCTCGAGCCTATTTCGCTTCTTTGAATGAATATGTTCAAATACACTCCAATTTCTCTCGCACCCCGAAGAGCTGCATGTTTGGCTTAAAACTCGAATTGCAAGTGTTTGCAAATTCGGAGCACTTGAACCATAGCATCGCCACCACTCATCTAATAAGATTGTAATAGAAAAATAAAGAATTAATAATAACTTGAAAACTATAAAAAACATGTAAATTAAAAAATTAAGTTATTACCAGGCATCATTGTGCTACGACTGTTCATTGCAAGTTTTCTTCCAAAATCCCCTTCTGCACGTCTAAATGTTGTCATTTCACTCGACAACTTCAGACCAAGTTGGCTATCATGGTAAGTGTATTTTTCTATTACATCAAGAACCCCAGAGACAGTGCTTTTATGCTTCTTCATCAATTCACTGTCATATTGATAACTTGGATTAAACCAAAATCCAGCAGCATGAAGGTTTTTCCTTAATTGATTATCCCACCGCCTATCAAGAATCCTAAGAAACGGCTCAACAAACAATTTTCTTCTCTGAAACCTTTTTATTATCTCGTCTCTAGCTGCATGGAAAGCTGCAAATAGATAACCCATTGCCGGTTTGTCTTCACTATCCACGATTCGTAGAACACGGACCAAAGGTTCAGTAATCTGCACAATATAGCCACAAGATTTCCAAAATCGTGAATCCAAAATAAGATCCACAAACTTTTTTCCTTTACTTTCTCGAGCATGTGTTGAGCTCATCCATTCTCTGGAAGTCACCATGGCTTGCAAAGAAACTTTCTGTGCCAAAATACTTTGCAAAGCAATGAAATTTGTTGCAAATCGAGTTGGGGCAGGACGTAGGATTTCTCTCCCATTAGTATGCTTTCTCATCAAATGCAAAGCAAAACAATGGTTATAAATGAATTTTGTAATTTTGGCAGCATGTTCCACGACTTCCTCCACCTCGTTCAACTTACCCATATCAGCCAACATCAAATTAACACAGTGAGCAGCACATGGAGACCAATAAAGAGTCGGGAATTCTTGTTCCAACAATTTTCCAGCAGCATGATAATTGGCCGCATTGTCAGTGACAAATTGCACAACATTCTGAGGCCCGACTGAGGTGACAATTTCTTTGAAAAGATGGAACAACATTTCACTAGTCTTTGAAGCATCTGAAGCATCCACTGATTTGAGGAACACGGTCCCTTTAGGACAATAAACTAGAAAGTTTATCAAAGTCCTCCTACGTTGGTCAGTCCATCCGTCGGCCATAATTGTACACCCTGTTTCTTTCCAAGTCTTCCGATAAGTGTGAACAAACTCATTTATTTCTTCCACATTTTTCTTTAGCAAGTAACCACGGACGCTCGAAACTCCAGGCGCTTTATAACCAGCACCCATACCAGCTATAGCATCAATCATTGGTTGATAATAAGATGAGTTTGTAGCATTAAAAGAGATATTATTAGCAAACATCCATTTTGCAATGGCGATGTCACACTTTTCCCTCACCTCTTTACTCTGCAACACACTTTTGATGGTGGGTTGGGCTCCAGGAACTGTTCTGGGCATAAAGTACGCTTGCACAGTCTTACTCCCCTTTTCTTTTTGTTTCTCTTTAGTAATAGAGGCCCGACCAAAAGAGCTATGAAGCTCTACAACATCATCACAATACAAGCTTTCATTCGGATAGTCATTACTTTCTTCTTGCTCTTCTCGTATCTTTCTTTTTTTTTTTGGAAAAATCTTCAATGTTGCTCTGAATCTGAAAACGAATATCAGCTGAAACCTTTTTACATGGCTCCACATCTCCTTTTATGCCTGCTAAATGTTGCTTCACCCTATTAATCCCACCTCCTTTGAAAATCTTGTTGCAGTGTAGGCATATTAACTCACGCTTGGAATTCTGCCCTTCAGCAACTCGACAATGTTCCCAAGCTATATCGGTCTTTCCTCTTGTAGTGGGTTTCTGCACAGATTCAGAGGTTTCTTGTGTAGGATTGTTAGACGACATTACGAGTAGACCACCTAAAAATTCAACCAAACACCATAATGTTAGTTTTTTTATTCTCAATCGCAGAAACACATATATATTGAATTATTGAGTAAAAATCTATGAATCCAATTTTTCAATTATTACTGAAGCAATTAAAAAACAAATGAAGCTAATATTGAATAAAGTTGGTGAAGTCTTTCCCCAATTTGTAGAATCTTTGCAAATAAAGCTAATAATAAAAAATATTGGAGCCATTAACAATCAATTTATGATTCTTGCCACCCAAAAAAGATCTCTTGCCACCAAAAGCTCAAATATTATTAAAGCCAATTTTTTTAGCCTCAGAACAAAAACGAAATCTGTTTTAGTACAGTACTTTCTTGCATGTGTTATAATGTTTGATACATCTATATGAATATAATTGATTTTTCTAGCAGTTGCTCATATGAATTTGCTAACAGCTACATGTGCATTTTGTTTACTGTGTGGTGATTTGTACATTTGAAAGATATCTAATAATTTTTTTTTTAGTTTTTGTACAGGAAACTAAATTAGCTAATTGGAATTCAATAAAAAACCATAAAAAGAAACTATATGAAATTAACAATCAAACCAAATATGCTAATCAAAATTACCATTTACCAAGAGTCTGAATAAAGAAAAAAAAAAGAGTAAGAACTAAGAAGCTTCATACCTGGCTATGTGATGAAGACAAGATGTTTGACAGTCGACGCACAAGCACAAAGATTTTTCTTTTTCCCGGCGTGGTTTATGTTCTCGGCGAAAGATTAGAAGATGGGAGAAAGATTTTGCTTTGAGATTGAGGTTTAAATCGTTGGAATAGGAACAGACGGGAAAAAAAACAAAATCTTTCTAACCTTATTAGAATAGGAACAGACGGGANTGAAATTCCAAGAATAGTGACTTCAATTTTTTCTTGGTTTGTTGGTAAGAATGGATTGAATGTGTGGCTTGGCTTCATTTTTTAAACAATAAAACATTATATGAAATTAAAAAAAAAAAGCATGTAGTTCTCAATTCTACTTCTTTGCCATCGCGTTCAATTCATCGAGGACGGTGTACCTGCCCTGAGCCATTAGTCCAAAACCGCAGGTCGCGTCATTGTCGGCCAACCAATTGAATCTGGCGTGTTAAATTTTGGTACGCAACTCTTTACCATTCAATCGTTCGTGTATGTTGGTTGCTCTTTGATGATCTCTATCTCTTGTTTTGGAATTTGAAAATTTGGGTGAATCGAAGGGAGAACGTAATTAGTGCAACTCTTGTTTCTACAAAATTATCTTTATTGTATGCATCATAATTTGAAAAATATTGTGAGTTGAAAATAGCACTTTATAAATATCTTCAAAGGGGTTTTCATTCTGAATTGTTATATTGGTTTTATGTTGCTCAACAGTTGTTTTGTCATTGTTTTGTTGTTACGTGCAAGTTGTTTTGTTGTTACGTGGAAGTTTTTTTTTTCCAGTTTTTTGTTTCATTTGATTTCTTGCATGACTATGATTTTGTCTGTATGCATTCTTTTTTTATTATTGTTGTTGTTGTTGTTAATTCAATTTAACATATATTTATGTTACTTTTTGGTAATCTAATTTTATGTATGTATATAACCAATTTTACTATTATTATTATTATTATTATTATTATTATTATTATTATTATTATTATTTTGTTTCTTATTCTTAGGTATTAATATTTGAAGAATAAGAAGAAGAAAAGGGAAGATGAAAGAGAAAACATGAAAGACGAAGAAAAGGGAAGAAGAAGAAGAAGAACGTGAAGAGAGAAGTAGGAGAGATGTAAAATAGGAGAAGAAAAATAGGATGAGAGAGAGTAGTTAGTTATTTATTTAATTTTTTGAATCAATTCTTTTAATTTTCGTCCTTGCCTAAATTTGCCCAATTTTGGAGTATATTTGGTATTGTGTATGAATGGTTACTGTTGTGGAATATTAGTCTTAAAAGAGGACAGTTATAAAATTTTCCCTAATTTAAACCGTTGATCTCAAAA